CTCCATTTAATTCCACAGTAATAAGTGGACCCAACTACAATATGGAAGATAGACGTACCCATACCTCCCCCATACACATGCAGGCCACAACCTCAGAGCCTAGTCTTTGAGCCCAGGTCTGGTTTAGGGTTTGTTTGAGCAGCAGTGAGCAGGTCTTTTCTTCTCCTCTCTCAGGGACATACAAAGTATTTTTGGATATATAATTCTGCACCTGTACAAAGAAACAAGTCTTGGAAGAAGGCCATTCTCAGGTCTCTGTCTGCAGAAACATCCCAAAGCTTGTGTTTCTGAGATCCTCTATGTCCATTCCAGGAATGTGCTCAGGTCTCTCATAAACCTGGGATGTAGACAGAAAAAATAGCAGCCTTCATTATCCCACTGTCTCCAACCAGGAATTACATCACCCTGACCCTTAAAAATTATAAGCATAATGTTTCTAAAATGGTACTCAAGACTCCTGGCATTATGCCTGCAATCCCAGAATGCCCTTAGACATTTTGATTATCCTGATTGTCAAACTTTTATTTTGCAGGATATTTGGGAGTTAAATATGTGAGACAGAATGATGAAAGGGTAACATTGATTAAGATGTGTTATACTTACAAACTGATGAGTTGAGTTGAAACTCCTTTGTACAACTACTGAAGGATCATAAATTAATTAATTAAATTAATAAAATCATAATTTCATTTTAAACAATAAAAACCCTAAGGAGAAAATGTCTCTCGGTTCTCTAACAGCTAATCAGTTTTCCTTGTGTAGGCTGAAGATCAAATGCTCCCAGCTCTCTCCTAACTATGACTACTCTATGATGTTCTGTTTTATGGATGAAAGAAGTTGGCTATCACATAAGCACTCAATCCAGAGCATAACTTCATGATCTGTGGACCAGAAAACCTTGACAGTTACACCTTCATCTACTAACTTTTCCTATCAGTAATGATGCTGAGAGAGCAAACATGGCTATGCATATGCCATGGGCCATGTACAGAAACTCTGAAGTAAAAGCACACACATGTTTGCAGATGAATTGAGTGATCTGATACAAATACAAAGGAGGGAACTCTGAACAGTATCTGAAATGATTAGTATACCTGGCTCAATAGGTAAATGCAAAATAACCACATACCTGATCAGAAAAAGCCAACCCAGGAAACAACAGTTTCTTTGGGGAAATTGTATAAGTATAAATTAATTATACAAAAGGGTTTCATTGTGATATTTACACATATAATAATTATATGTGATATAAATGGATATAATTTATTATAATGTGCTTGATCAAATTCACCCTGTCTATACTACTCTTTCTCAACCTCACATCATTTTTAAGAGTTTTTAGTGGGTTTCATCATATATATATATATATATGTATATATATAATAGTTCATATTATAATATATTATAGTAACTATTATAATAGTATATGTATATCTTAATAGTCATAATTTACATAGTACATATAATATTCACATACACTATAAGTCTCTCCTTTCCCTTCCTCCTTTTGGCTCCCACAAACAGTCCCCCTTTTATAATCATGTCACATTAGTTTATTTTGGTCTCAATTCCACATATGAGGAAAAAAATATGCAATTTTGTGTTTCTGAGCTTGGTTTATCTTACTCAACATGATGATCTCCAGTTCCATCCAGCTTCTTCATTCCATCCAACCTCAAGAATTGTAGATTAGCTGTGTGGGAAAAGTATGAACCTGGAAAATATTTGGGTTTGGGTTCTACTGCTGGTTTTTCTTGTTCTGTCACCTTGGGGAAATCATGCATCTAGCCAAAGTTACCTCATCCACAACATAGGAATAATAGTCACAGCTTCCTTTCAGGGTCACTGAGGGATTAGATGAGAGGACAAGTGTAATATGTCTGTGTCTCAGTATCTGACCCAATCTCATGGGTATCTGTAAGTGGTAAACATTGATGTTGATTTAAAAAAATACAAAATGATGTTGCCATCATTGTGCTAAAGTCTTTGCTTTGCTTCTTCACCACCTAGTTTATTACCTAATAAATGCTCAAGAAAACAAATGAAGACACATTGCATGTGCTAAACTGCACAGCACTGACTGGCACCAGAGCAGGCCTGGGGGTAGGAAGCTTTGATTGTGGACTGAAAGCTGTGGGAGAGAACTGGTCAGAATATGGTTGGCAGTGTGCCTTTTAGGGGAATAATGCTCAGAGCTCCAAAGGCAGAAGTCTTGTCTGAGCCCAAAGAGTAGCAGTCACACTTCGATGTGGGGACATCACGTCAGCTTCTGTCTTGCAGACCTTTGTCCAAACAAGCTCTTTACTGTCCTTAAGACTCAGCTAATGAGTTCTCCTGCGTCACCATCTTTGAACAAAATAATAACAGTAATAAGAACAATGTGTTCACTAAGCAATCTCTACACGTTGGGATCTGTGTGAAAGCACTTTACACACATGAAAACCAGACATATGTTGCCTAAGTGGGAAAGGTATCCCACTAAAAGTAGTCCTACTAAATATTGGTCCACAAGTCTAATTGATTCCTGAGGTCAATGACCAGAATCTAGTCCCTTGGACTCTCCAGTGCTATGGAAAGCTTAGCATGAGCAGGAACTCATGGCTGCTTGTGGTATATCAGGAGAGATTGGCAAGTGCACTGTAAGGATATCGATCAAGAGGCATTAGGATCATCATGCAGGACTAAAAGCAGACTCTGTGTGAGTGTATGGCAGTACCAGAGCTATATGCCAAAGCTCAGGATCTAGACAATGTCCCCTAGCTTTCATGCTCAAGGTTGGTACTCTGCAACTTGAGCCACACCTCCACTTGCCACCTTTTTTCTGATTAATTAGAGATTCATTGGAGTCTCACATACTTTTCTGTCTGGACTGGCTTCCACTGCAATCCTCAGATCTCAGCCTCCTTAGTAGCTAGGAGACACCTGGTGGGAAACAGACTTTTGGAAAAGTTTAGTCATAAAGAACAAGAGCACTGGGAATCCTCAGTCCCAGAAGGCTAGGAGAGAGTACAATTGAGTACCTTGCTGCCTCTGGCCCTGCCATTTGATAGTGGAATCTACTCAAATATCCTTTCTCACACACCTAGTTTTGTCTTAGAAACCTGGACAAATTTGTCCATGGACAAAGTTCAGTGGCTGGGTTTGAGAAAATTAGGAGTGATGAGTGAAGGATTAAATCTGATATGGCATGGATACTGGATGATTGGAACAGCCATAGGCCTACAAATCCATAGATAAATGCAAATTCTAATAGCGATAGTGAGTGGTCTTAAGAATGCCTATTTTAGAGTCCTATTTTAGAGTCGAGGTACAGCTAAATCACTTGCCTTTCTGCTTTGCAAAGTTGTAAATCTGAAGTTCTGTTAGCATTAGCTTTAAGATGAAAAGAAGCTTCTAGAAGTAATTTCTTTAAATCCCTGAAATTACCAGTTGCTCAACAGTTATTCTTTTTCCTCAAATACAAAAGAAGCTGATGGAAGTCAGCCAAGAGAAACACTTAGCCTTGTAGAAAGAAGCAGACTGTTATTAAAAACCATAGTGGTCATTAGCAAAGATGATGTCATAATTAAATGTCTGGGCTTTCTGGGATCCCTGGGGCTAAGGAGAGGGAATCAGAGTCTTTACTAAGGCAGCGAGCAGTCACCTACCTAATGGTGTTTGGTGAAAGTGCCCAGTCTCCAGGGTGAAGTGGTTTCCTGGAAAAGGATCTACGAGCACAATGTTTCTCCCTGCTTGCAAAGCTGGTGGCCAGCACAAGGGATTTATGAACTGGTGACTCTGCTGAAGGAAAGCTTTGGAATTTTATGTGTGGTAATACTTTTGAGAGGTCTCTATGAGTCATACTGTCAAACAGAATGGAACCTGTCTTAAGACGGATCATTCCTACTTCCAGCAATTCTGGAAGAAGGAACAATTCTTCAAGGTTTTCAGAAGTTGAGTTGCCAATATTACTCTATAAAAATGCAGAAGGAATTCAGTGGCAGAGATCACCAAGTTACAAAACAAAGAGGAAATGGAGAACAGCCACCTGGCCTTTCATTCACTCCTTCTCCCCCCACTGCACCCACACTTGTATTTCTCTTTGCCTGTGTTTCCCTTGCCACCCTTCCCTCTCAACATTTCTTGAAGGTTTGGGGGTGATTTATAGTGACAACAAGGTAAGCTGTGACCAAATCTTGGTTCTATTACCTGTAGTCAAACATAATCATGGCAAAACTATTGTGATAAATGTACTCATTGATTATAAGAAGTGTCCTAATTTAAGAATATAATAAGAAATAATAACCATGTAACTGCAAAGCATTAGGAAAACTATCTTCATTAACCTTCTCATCTGTAAAACAGAGGTTGTAAAATGTCCCTCAAAACGTGTTTGTAAGAGTAGAAAGATTGGAATTGGGTGCAAGCAGCTCATACCCTGTAATCCTCACTGCTCATGAGGCTGAAATCTGCGGATTGCAGTTTGAAGCCAGCCTGGGTTAGAAAGTCCATGAATCTCTTCTCTCCAATCAACTACCAAAACAGCCAATAGTAGCCCTGTGGCTCAACTGGTAGAGTGCTAGCCTTGAGAAAAAAAAGCTCAAGGATGTAGTTTATGTCGAGTTCAAGCCCTGGTACTGGCAAAAAAAAAAGATAAAGAAAATCTGAATAAATTATGAGCACACTAATGTAAGAAATCAATAATTAGGAAAACCTGGCGAAGAAGTATATGGAAATTCAGTTCTATAGTCTCAATTGTTCTGCAAATCTAAAACTTCTAAAAATTTTACAACTAAAAACAGTCAAAACTTGATTGTGCTGGTATTCCCCCCACTTTTATAATGTTATGTAGCCTCCCAGTAAGTAGCACAAGGTTGCCTTTGCTTTAAAAGCAAAGATGGGATTTGTGTCTAAGGTGCTTTCTACTGAATCACACAAAGTTTTGCCTCTTTCTGTAGACCTCTCTGTTTTGTGACTTCCTTAAGCACCATTTATGTACGTTTCTTCCCCGCTCTCCCCAGGGGTTAGCCTTTACACTTGAAGAAAGGCTACAGCTTGGAATCCATGGACTACTGGCCCCCTGTTTCCAGAGCCAAGATGTCCAGCTCCTCAGAATCATGAAATACTATGACAAGCTGCGTACAGACCTGGATAGGTCAGTGCCTAAATCTGTTCTCTGTCCAATCCTATTTTCTGTGGCCCACTGGGAGTTTGGAGGGTACGCTCCACCTACAAAAGGCTGAAAGACTCTCATTGCTCTTTTCTAGCTCTTTCTGCTCTCTCTCTCTCTCTCTCTCTCTGCTCTCTCTGCTCTTTTCTAGCTCTTTCCTCTCTCTTTCCTCTCTTTCCCAGCTCTCTCTCATTCTCAGGCCTTTCCCAGCCACGTGGAGTGCCAACCTTGCCTGGTCCCAGCAGGTCAACTGAATAAACCTACCCCTTACCTGAATACCATGTGAGTGCTGCTGTTCTTACTCGGCTATCTCTCTCACTGCTCTTTTCTAGCTCTCTCTGCTCTCTCTGCTTTTCTAGCTCTTTTTCAGCTCTTTCCTAATAAACCAAAATATTAAAAAAAAAAAAGGCTGAAAGATCCCAGGTCCAATTCTGAAGTGAGGAGTGAACATCCATCTGAGAGATGAGATTTGTGATGACCAAGGGGTAGCTCACATGATCTTGGAGAACTAGGAAAGAGACCCAGTGGATTCTAAGAGGTCCTCCTGACAGTGATAGAAATTAATCTGTGCCAGAAATACTGATGAGACTTCATCAGACAACTATGGCATTTAAGGAGAGCATGTTACAGAGACAGCGAGAGATGGATCAACACTATAGAGACAGGAATGCTAAGGAAGTGGTGCATGGCCCAGGTTTCTGGAATCTGAAGATCGGAGAGTGGGGTGGATAGGAGACACTGTGGAAAGAACCTACATACCAGGTGTTGGGGATTATGAGCAAGTTAATAATGGGCCTCCTTTCTCCTTACTGGAGATGTTAATACAAAGAACCCCATTTATGAGTGTCTGAGTCTGCGTTCCCAGCTTTACTATAGGAATTTGTTGTGTCCATGCTTTATGTCTATTAACGGGCACAAGGAGGATTTAAACACAGACAGCAGTTCCTCAGTCTATGTTTTTAATCTTCTCTTGCTATTTCAAAGTTGAGTCAGCAGGACTTAGTTTTATCTACAAGGCCAAACTCTAGTTCTAGACTGAGTCCAGTCCATATTCTACCACTAAGTAAGTTTTTTATTGTGAAAATACTGTACACAGGGGTTACAATTACACGAACAAGGTAATGAGTACATTTCTTATCAAGTTGTCTCCTCCTTTGTTTTTCCCCTACCATCCCTGCCCTCCCATCTCCACGACTACACTCCCCACCACCCCTCACCCCCGCCAAAGTTGTAAAGTTCATTTTTTACCATAGCATCTTGTACATCTCATTGTTGCAGTGGGTCCACCTGTATCCCTATTTAAACAAGTGAAGTAAGCCAGGCTCAAAGAAACATAGGTCCCATGGGTTTCCTTATTTGCAATAACTAGTATATGTGTGAGACAAGCAGAAAAGGTTAGATAAGATGATGTTAGGCGAAAAGAACCCCAAGATAAGGACACAAGTGGTTTTTTTCTTTTTTACTATTGTTTCTAACATATTTATAAGATGATTTTTTTTGTTGCTTTGTATGTCCCTCCCCCACGGTATAACCCCTGTTTTCACTGTATTTGATGTTGGTATAATTTGGGGAGGGGAAGGGAAAAAACAAAATGTTTAAATAAGGATACATTTTGACCCATTGCAACAATGAGATGCACAAGACACTATGTTGAAAAACGAACTTTACAATTTAGGTGGGGGGCTGGGGGAGTGGAGGGTGTAGTTGAGGAGGTGGGAGGGATAGAATTGTAGGGGAAAAACAAAGGAAGAGGCAACAATGCTTGGTAAGAAATGTACTCATTACCTTGCTCATGTAACTGTAACCCCTTTGTACAGTATTTTCACAATAAAAATCTTATTTAAAAAAACAGATGTGTCACCTTGTAAAGGGCTCTCTCAGGCATGTAGGATGAAGATAAAGCTTCCCTCTATATCCATAGTGCTAAGTGGGGGGGAAACCCCACATAATTTCTGGCACATGCTTCCTGAGCCTTAGGTATCAGGAAAAGCCAATTCAGACATTGCTCATATACTTTCCTTGACCTACTCCAGGTCATTATCATTGAAGTGTCACTCATTCCTGTCCATACAGTCATACAAGCCATCTTGCACAATAGTTGTTAGTGAAGATTTTGGAGTTAGACTTTTTCAAATTCAGATCCTACTCTGTCATGAAACTTGAACTTCATTCTTCCTACATAAGTCTCCTTGTCTCTAAAATAGTTAGAATTGTAGTACCTACGGTATAATTTGTGGAGGGGAAGGGGAAAAACAAATCGTTTAAATAGGGATACAGGTGGACCCATTGCAACAATGAAATGTACAAGTCGTTATATC